TCGTGACGACTAGTAGCGATCTCAAAGCATCCTGAATAAACACACAGTATGGAAATTAACTCTTAGGTGCTTGGTGATGTTGATGTTTTTGTCACCCACTCACCTTATGATTGCAGAAAATTTGTAGATTAAACTCGCTATGAGTTTTTGTGGTTTTATCCTTGTTGTTTGGCAATGGAACTCGAAAATTGGAAATTAGGAGGGCAGTGGTCGGAAGAAAAGATATGACAGGATAGTACATAGTTTAAAACCGATTGAAACGTTAAGTGAATAAAGAATATGATGAGCTAGGTTCAGTTACCTATTCAGTCCTTGATTACATCGCTAGTCAATGTATATTTAAGCTATTTACAGGTCATATTTGCTAGAGCATTATGCTTAACAGGTTTATTTCACTGAAGCACATAAATACTATTAAAGCTTGTTAATGAACCACCGAAGGTAAAAATTATTACAGATGACCATTTACCAGTATCAATTGAGTTAGTATGTTATGAGTACTAATCAATATAACATTTCGATAATATATGTGAGCATTAATCAGAGGACTAATAGAATACTAGTTAACATAAGTAAAAATTGATCGAGAAAGTTAAGGTAAAGATAAGAATTAACAGTAATAGGTCGTGTTTCTTTAGTCGGGCTTACCAATTTAGAATTATGGTCTATTTCGATATTAGTACTGGTCTAATAATAGACTTAATCCTAAAATTGTAGATTTGTCATGATGTAACTGCCTAAGCTATATGATCTTACATGGAAGTCACATTGTTATCCACACGAACTCATCGCGTCGTGACAATGATAAAAACACGATGAGGAACACAGTTAGGCTAAAGGTGGAACATTATATTTAATACGAATAAAAGGCATGTGACAGCACTCGAGAATAATCACACCTGCAAGGCCGAGCCATGCCATCCGATGGATTCGGCACGGGAGAAACATCAGACTCCTTCAAAGTTGCCCACCGTTTCGTTTCAACGACATTGAACGGTTTGACAGGAGGCGGTCATTCCCTATTTCATTTGCCATGGGTCTGTTGGGTTGCATGAGTATTAAGTTTTTCATATTCAGTTCATCTTTTGCTGCATTGAAAAGCACAAAATAACTGTTAAAAGCACTAATTTAGCATTCATTGTGTTTGTAGTGTACATGTTGGTTCTGTTGTTGCTTCGTAAGATGATCTGTGATCCCAAACCTCAAAGAAATGTCAAGTCATCAGTAAGTCTTGAATATTTGTAGTACATCGTTCAGTTATTATTGTTTCAAGGAATAACGTTTTTATAATTAATGATTGCTGTTTGTAGCGCTTCATGTTCAAGTGACATTTCAGTCGACTTATGTTATGCTTTTCAACTTATTATACTGAACAATCGTTTCGCAAGCTGGGATGACTTTGATAGCGCGCTTAAAGAGTTCCAAAAAGTATGGAAGAATAATTTTATCCCTTTTCAGGCTACCCATACTCATTATATGCACACAGAAAGCAAATCGCTCAAGGATGTCAGGTTCAAATACCTTTTTGTGAAATTTCATTGCACATTCGCTCATAAAAGTAAATCAGAAAGTCTGATAATGAATCAAAAACCGTGAGGACCTTAGCTAATATGTAACGTTTAAGGTCTACGTTTCTTAACTGCCAATTGAGGTTCCGCGTAAGACATAGAAGCGGAAGGATATGTTATAGAATCATACAAGATGCTGCACAACCATCCTTCTAGTAGTTCGTGACCCATGGACCAGAAGACTGTCGTCCGAAGAAAAGAAAATTTGAAGCCGGTCATATTGCAGTCTCAATCAACAGATGAATTAATAGAAATTATCAAGGATAGAACTAGTAAGCAGGTCACTGCTGCCGATGTCGAAGCTAGTTCAACTCACTTTACTGATTTTATAGGGTCATGAGCATAGTGCATAGTAGGCCGTGTAATGAACGAACACATAGGCGGGGACAACCAATATATATTAATAAAATGTTACAAAATCCCCTAGCAAAATACAAGAACTCCACTTGCGAATTTCAGTTATTTGTCCTTCACATTCTATGTGATTCTCCTTATTCATAATTTCCTTCTCATCCCGCTTCCGTTTTCTTCAGGTCGACATTCGTAACCTTCTGTTGCCAGGGTCCTCATTTCCCACCGGCGTTACATACTAATTATGCCTGTTTACATAAGTAGCATTCACCACAGGTCGTAACAACGGTCATGTTTAGGTACATTTAGTCAGTTAATTTGTCATATTATGATATAATTTCTATTAAAAACCAGATTACGCTGTAAATTTTGCTATGGCTCCAATTTTCATCCATCATGTCGGATCGCCTTACGCCGGACATGCATTACATGCTGGAATGCTATCTCATGTCATATAAAGGTTAATAAAAGTTGTGGTAGTTTCAAGGTAGACCGTCAGTGAACAATGTCACTGGTAAAATTTTTATTGCGTTGCGAACTGTGTTTTGTTGCCTAAGCAACTGTTAACTTCAGTATCGGAACACCACTGGATGTCATTCTGAAAATTTATATCAATCCAACCCCAATATGAATGTCACGAGAAACATAACCATGTTAGAATTGAAACATCAAGTTGATATTCATTCTACTCTTTACGAGTAATCAAATAATGAGGTTGCCTAACACCTCAATCGGTCCAAGAAAGTTTCCAAGTTTCTTTCAAGAAGGAGCTTGATATATTGTCAAGGATTTAGAACAGAATATCATACACATTTTCTATCATACCTTTTAATTAACCGCGCTTTTTGAACGGGAAGCTTAGTCCCAACGTGATTTGCATTTCTCAAACTTTTGCTGTGTTCTTACGCAACAAAAGCACCATTCCCGATCTAAAGAATCTATTCTGAGCTATACGTTTGGTAGGTTGCTTTTCCTAAGTTTCATCCAACTTAATAGTTAACTGTGATTTTGCCTCAGCTTACTATTCGTTTTTTGCAGTTTTTCACGTTAAGGCTAGTTCAGTTTATTTCATCCATTTTCGCTCGTTTTTAGTGTATTTTTGTACGGTCTTAGGCTTTTACTAGCATCTATAACACAGTTTACGTCAATATAGTCATGAAAAAGTCATGCGAACGACCTGGATGCCGTTTTGTTAATACATCTGGCATGCAGTGCGACAACTGCAAAAGTTGGTTTCACGAAGCGTGCACAGATCTCACAGCAACTGCTTACCAAAGACTCAGTAAGTTGGGTCATAAGTGGGAATGTGTTACGTGCAGCACGGATGCTGTAGCCTTGCTGAGTAACATCATTGTCCTATTGACAGTTCTGCGGAGTAAGCTGTCAGTAAACTTGGAAAAAGACAGTCATAAAACGGGTAGACGAACAAGGACGCTCAAGGAAAACAAGAAGAGGTATGTCGACAGGTCTAACATCGATGGAGCATGCATTAGCACTAATGATGACATGTTGAAACTCAGCACCATCATCACGTCGACGGCAATCGACTCTCCCAGCTCAGATTCCTTGAATGCAACAGTGGTTCTCAAAAATTCTGTAGGTGATTGGACCCACGTTAACAGAGCTAAAAAGAACCAGGCGTCACCGTCTAAGCTGACCATCCCCGGTGTTGTACGGAAGTCAAGCGATTTGTTACCCAGTCTACTCTCAAGAATGTCCGTCCGACCATCAAAAAGCCTAGGATTCAGAAACGTGCTTCAACCTCCAAACACCAAGACGCTGTATTCTGAGCGCAATCTCATCCGGGACATCCCTAAAGAATCTCGCGAGGCATTTTTCTGCGGAAGAAACGTAATTGTGCAAGGTGTGTCGGAAAAAATGGACCCTAGTCAAGCAAACTCTGATATTGGGGAATGAAAATTCATCAAACAGTCCTTGGACTTAGAAGCATACTGACTCTACATGTGACGAGACTGGCGAAGAAGGACGGTGATTCTTGACCCCGGCTAATGAGGATAACTTTCCCATCCTATATGGCGACTGCAACTCTGGAGGCATTTCGTACCAACAGACGTCGGTCGCCAACTAGAATCCACATGCACCCGGACAGGCCATATGAAGCCAGGACCAAGCACAAAGACAAGCCGGAGCTGATCATTCCACTTGTAGACTATCTTGATAATAAAAAACGTGTAAAGGACAGGGCCTACCAACTCGGCAAACATTATATTTTAAAGAGAGCAAGGACAAGGTTTGGTGCGGAATAATATGAATTCATTTTATTTCGTTAGGTTCTCATCAGCCGCTTACAACCTAAAATATATGAAATTCGACGTTATTATAGATATTGACATACTTATACATCAGAGGGGGATGAAGGATGAGTTAACATTATATTGGTGTAACGACCGAACAGCCAATATTCGGTTGGAACAACGGACTGACGAACCCAAAATTTATTCGATTAGACCAGACCAAGTTCCTCTGTATAGCCCACAACGCGTCTTTGAGATACTCGTATTATATTATATCAAAAGACAAACTCTGTGCTCAATATAAACGGTTCTAATTAAGAAAACAGAACAAATTACATCAAAAATACAAAATACCTCAAACGGTACGGCCTGTGCTATACAGTCAGAAGTTTCTCTAACGCAAAGTAGCGCGCTAAACAATGAAAGAGACAGTTAATACTAAAGGGTTTGATACCTGAGAATCAATACAAATATTCCCAATCAGATGGGATCAAATATCTATCTGCAGGGATTGCAGCAATTCTCCCAAGCAGACAGTCAGAAGGTTAAGTCACAAACTGAACCACGCCGTGACCTTGAGCTTAGTCAAACACAACCTTACTGTCAATGGTCCGGCAACATGCAATAGAAAATTAGGTAACCAAAAATAAGTCTTTAATCAAAATCACATAATAAAGGCTCAAACGAGGAAGACTGAAGAACAAAAGATATGGTTAAACGAGATCGAAACAAAGGTTGGAATACACAAAAGGGAGAAGGAACAAATAAATGAAAATACTGTTCAACAAAGAAGCTGCAGAGGGATTTTCACTGTCCTTTTTCCGTTACACCGGCCCCCAAAATCCCTCCAGCTACGCAAAGACAACTTAGAATACATTTCTGTCATGGCTCTGCTTACTAACTGCTCTATATCAATGGGAGGCACAGGACTTACAACAGTACGCCTGTACATCCATAAACCTAAGCTACAATCTACAATTACTCGGCTCCCTATAGAAGGCAGAGCTTTCGCACATCTCTTCTTACTACACCTTCTCTCATTCGCACCATCACTGTTCTTACCAATCCATCTCCATCTGTCTCGCACTTATCAACCCATCCCATTGGCCATGAACCCCGAGTAGTTGCATCGTTAGCCACTAGAACTACATCACCTTCTTTTAAGTTTCTGTGTTTGCAAAACCATTTCTGCCTCACTTGCAGTAAAGGAATGTACTCTTTTATCCATCGACGCCAGAAGGTATTGGCTAAACAATTGACCTGTCTCCATCGCTTTGAATACCTATCCGCAACACTACACTCCACCCCTAAACCATCACAGTCTCTTAGTAATAACAAAGTGTTTGGCGTGAGCGTCAAATCATCCTTTTCATCTGACGTCACAGGAACGATTGGGCGGTTGTTTAAAAATTCGTTCTACCTGCACAAAATAAGTTGCCAAACTATCATCGTGTAATATTTGCCCGTTGGAAATAGTAAGATCCTCCGAACAGACCGTATTAATCTCTCCCAAACTCCGCCTCGATGGCTAGCTAGTGGGGGGTTGAAATGCCAGCGTATACCCTTCGATACTGTTACGTCGTTTATTTTATGCTTGTCCCACACACTCATATTAGCCCGTAATTCGGAAGTAGCCCCGACAAAGTTAGTTCCATTGTCGCTATAGATTTCCTTAGGAGTTCCTCTCCTTCCTATGAAACGTATTAAAGCCATTATGAAAGCATCAGTACTCAAATTGAAAGCTACTTCCAAATGTACGGCACGTGTTTGGAGACACGTAAATAGGCATCCATATCTTTTTTCCTCACTTCTTCCCCGACGAACTATCAACGGCCCAAAATAGTCTATCCCGACGGAGGAGAAGCAAAACCAGCCTTGCTGCACTCGACACTTGGGGAGAGGTGCCATCATCTGTTGGCCTAATGTGGCTTTCGCGCGTATACACCTCACACATCTACCTATCACACGTTTAACTGCACTGGTTCCTTTAACAATCCAATAATTTCGTCGTATGGTAGCTAACACTTGTGATGTCCCAGTGTGACCTTCTAGGTGGTGATGGTGTCGAATAACAAGTTCTGTTACGAAGTGATGACTGGGCAAAATTACCGGATGTCTGATTGAGAGTGGATAATCCGAGTAATTTAATCGTCCGCTGACACAAAGCAATCCATCGATTAACGTAGGTGAAAGATTTTTTAGCTCTTTTATATCAGTTGCGCTTACGCCATTGCATCGAGATAATTTTACTGCTTCCCCATACACTTCCTTTTGCACTAAGGCTAATACCTTGTGTTTAGCTGCATCCAACTCATCAACTGACAGATAGCCCACACTTAGGGACCTGTCATTGTGACGGGAGTACATGATGGTTATATAGGTCACGTATCTTCTGAGCCATGCTACCACTTTAATCAGCTTTATCCAATTTGAGTGATATAGCAGAATTGGACTTAAGCTATGTTTTTTTGCAACTGCGTTGGTCGTGTGACATCTTTTAAATTCAACATTTTCTAGGGGGTTTTCGCACATAAGCGTTAGTGTTCCTACAGACTCCCTCTTCCTTAAGAAGGAAGGACCCTCAATCCAGTTCTTTAAATCTAGCTCCTTCCGTATGCCTCGTGATGTCCAGTCAGCAGGATTTTCATTGGATTCTACGTGCCCCCACTGGTCTACAGATGTTAAATGACGAATAGCGGCCAGACGATTAGCCACGAAGGTGGAATACCTACTATCTGTATTTTTTATATAGTACAGTACTATCATAGAATACGTCCAGAAGTGAGTCTTGTCAAACACATGAGGAAGGTTCTTATTTAAAACTTCCCCCATTCTAGCACTCAATACTGCCGCTGTTAGTTCCAGTCTAGGCACAGCTACCTGTTTTATAGGTGCCATTCTAGACTTACTATAGAGTAAAACGATGTCCGGTGGTTTGCGCCTGAGTATGTTCCACGAATAGACAGTTGAACTGCAACCTGTCTTAGTCAGGATCTTCATCCTAAAGTCGGCAAGAACCCTACCAGCAAAGTCCAATCGCAAAACAGTATAAGGCAACGCATAATCTTCATAAATCGGAACTGTATGGGTCACACCATCACCTAAGTCCAACACTATACCAGTTGTACGATCAGATGTACATCGCGACAACATAGTTTGAGTAGCAGCACACGTACCTGGTGTTTTAAAAGTCTCAAACATGATCCTTGTCATCTCACAGTTTGCCTTCGGGTAGTATTAAAAAAAAAATCTTTCACCTACGTTAATCGATGGATTGCTTTGTGTCAGCGGACGATTAAATTACTCGGATTATCCACTCTCAATCAGACATCCGGTAATTTTGCCCAGTCATCACTTCGTAACAGAACTTGTTATTCGACACCATCACCACCTAGAAGGTCACACTGGGACATCACAAGTGTTAGCTACCATACGACGAAATTATTGGATTGTTAAAGGAACCAGTGCAGTTAAACGTGTGATAGGTAGATGTGTGAGGTGTATACGCGCGAAAGCCACATTAGGCCAACAGATGATGGCACCTCTCCCCAAGTGTCGAGTGCAGCAAGGCTGGTTTTGCTTCTCCTCCGTCGGGATAGACTATTTTGGGCCGTTGATAGTTCGTCGGGGAAGAAGTGAGGAAAAAAGATATGGATGCCTATTTACGTGTCTCCAAACACGTGCCGTACATTTGGAAGTAGCTTTCAATTTGAGTACTGATGCTTTCATAATGGCTTTAATACGTTTCATAGGAAGGAGAGGAACTCCTAAGGAAATCTATAGCGACAATGGAACTAACTTTGTCGGGGCTACTTCCGAATTACGGGCTAATATGAGTGTGTGGGACAAGCATAAAATAAACGACGTAACAGTATCGAAGGGTATACGCTGGCATTTCAACCCCCCACTAGCTAGCCATCGAGGCGGAGTTTGGGAGAGATTAATACGGTCTGTTCGGAGGATCTTACTATTTCCAACGGGCAAATATTACACGATGATAGTTTGGCAGGAAGGTATATTGGAGCTATCAGGCCCAGTGGATCGAAAAGAGATGAAATGGTGGATAGTATTCCTCTCCTAGTCGGAGTTTTTCCCCTGGATCAGAACGACAATTAAAAACATCGTGCGTGGTGTCCCATTCAATCCCGAGGGCTCGATGTGTCCGCCCTTGATTCAGAGACATATCAACAATAGCTTCCATGCTATCAGATTGCGGAAAAACTTTCCTTACAATTTCCGAGTTAGTCACCCATTTTTTCAACTTGAAACCTCCTCGAGCCATCAATTCATTTAGTTGTACCACAAAACTTTTCGCCTCTTCATCATTGGGAAAGGATACTAGACAATCATCCACATAAAAGTTGTTCAGTACCGATTCCCCTACGCTGTTATCATAGTCACTAGAGAACTTTTGAGCCGTCTTCATCAACGCAAAGTTTGCACAGAAGGGTGAGGATATTGCCCCGAAGGGATGTGATGTCATCTGATACTCCACCGGTTCCTTCTCGATATCACCCTTCGGCCACCAAAGGAAACGTAGCGCTCCACAATCGGGCTTCGAGACCTTTACTTGCATGAACATTTCTTCCACATCCGCGGAAACGGCAACCGGTTCCCTGCGGAAACGTAACAGGATCCCAACTAAACTTGCTGTAGTATCTGGACCTTGGTAAGGAAGGTCATTCAAGGATTTACCAGCCACCTTAGCAGCACAATCCAATACCACTCTCACTTTGCTTGGTTTTCTGGGGTTAATCACTGCATGATGGGGCAAGTACCATTTTGGACGATAACCCGGATCGAGTTGCATACCTGGAACCACAACCGCGTACCCTTTGTCAATCGTCTGTTGCATGGCACAAGTGTAGCTTTCCCGAAAGTCCTTATTGCATGTGAGTCTACGTCTTAGACTTTCTAATCTTTGTCTAGCTAGATCATAGCTACCAGAGACTACATTTCTCTCCACCCTCCAAGGTAAAGGGACAATCCAATGACCCTCGTCAAAATAAGTGTCGCGCTCCACTATGCCAACTGCTTTCAAGTCATTTAAGGACAATGCTTTATCGGAGGAGTGCACGTCAGCAAATTCGTAGTTATATATTTCATTTAACTGCTCTACAGGGTTGTCAGACTGAGAAATATGATTTACCATCCTTTTACTGTTTTTGCTAAAGCCTGCCGGTCCAAACAGAACCCATCCTAGAAGTGTCCTAATAGCATATGGGCTTTTTCTTCCACCCAATCTTTGATCTAGGACCCAATGCGCTTCAGGCACGTCACAACCAATAAGCAACATAACTTCCCCATCCACTAATTCTGTCCAAGGTAAGTCAGTAAGATGAGGCCATTTCTTGGCGCTGTCCTTCACAGGTACTCTTGGTCGATGCACCGGCAATTCATCTACTACAACAGCCTGTTCAATACATATACATTCTTCTCCGTTCAATGAGTAAGCTTTAAAAGCTTTAGTGGTCGATCTGCTCAACTTATTTCCGTTGACCGTTTTGATGGTAATCGACGCACCATCTGACGATAATGCTAAACGTCGTACGGTACTTAACTTGATTAGGGTCGTATCTGAGCCATTGTCTAGAAACGCATATCCAGAAACTTCCTTGTCCCCAGCTCTAAGGCGTACAGGGATCAGGCCCAGAAACACGTCCTATTTTATTGACTCTGTGTACCCGCAGTGAATTTCCTTTAAGCACTCACTCGAACCACTCTGAACTCGGATGGTTTTATGCAACGATGGGTGATGCCGATCCCGACAACCTTCGACAGTACACACAACACGATCTTTACAATCCACAGATCTGTGGCCCCTTCGAAGACAACAATAACACAAGCCCTTTTCTTTTGCTCTCGCCCACTTATCGTTGACTGCTAAGGTTGAAAACTGGAAACATTTATCTACACTATGAGTCTCTCCGCATATAACACAAGGTGACTTGCCAACGATTTTACCAAACGACAGACCTTGTGTGGAACAGGCCACCTTGCTTGCAACTCGTTTACTAGCAGTTGCAATCTGTCCGAATCTGCTAAGCAATATTTCCGCTCTAGATGACACAAATTCTGTTAACTCAGCAAAGGTAGGCTCTCTTCCATTTGCTGTTACCTTTCCTACTGTCTCAGCCAATCTCATCTGTAAAACCGTGGGCAACTTCTTTACTATACTTTCTATTGTCACTACGGAGTTGAGATCCGCTGAATAATCCATTTGTTCTAAGGTTATAGAACAGTTTTCCATCTTTATCGCTAGTCTAGATAGACTTTCTGCGTCATTATGTGCAATATCAGGACCATCAGTTAAATCTTTCATCAAAGCCCGACATATTTCGTGTGTTCTACCGAACAACCGTTTCAATATATCGCACGCTCTACGATAACCTGACGATGGTGGAAGCATTATGCATTCCTCTATGGCCTCTCGAGCCTTGCCTTTACAATAATGTAACAAGTACAAGAGCCGTTGACCATCATCTTCAACCTTGGAAACCACATATAAATCAAATTGTCTAATAAATTTCCAGTATTTGGCTGGCTGTCCATCAAAGGTACTTAGCTCAACCTTTGGAAGTTCAAGACCTACACTAAGAGATTCCAAGGTCACTTCCTTCCTCTTCGTTCCCGAATAATCTAGCAGTTTTGACTTTTCTAGAGACTTTGTCCTAAGGTCATGAGAAGGACTTACGAACCTGTGAACGTTCTCCTCTTCTCTGTCATCACAGTTAGAAACAGAAGATAACTTACTACACGTGCTTTCGTTCAGCCTTAACGACCCAAACTCTCTCTGAAAGCACAGTAGTTGTTTCCTCTGCCTATCTTTCAAGTCTCTCATTTCTGATAACTGTCTTTCTTTCAACTCTGCTAAGGTAATTCTAGAGCTAACTTTACTACGTCTACTTACTAAACTAACATTAGAGCCATGACATGAAAATGCATCTAATTTGACTTGCCGTATATCTGGAGGTGCATCCGATTGCATTTCTCCGTGGCCCAATGCCAAGTTCTCGTTGACCTTATTGCGCTTTCCAGGCATTCCAGAATTTGTCACTTGAGATTACTGTTCGTTTGAGAACTGTAACGACCGAACAGCCAATATTCGGTTGGAACAACGGACTGACGAACCCAAAATTTATTCGATTAGACCAGACCAAGTTCCTCTGTATAGCCCACAACGCGTCTTTGAGATACTCGTATTATATTATATCAAAAGACAAACTCTGTGCTCAATATAAACGGTTCTAATTAAGAAAACAGAACAAATTACATCAAAAATACAAAATACCTCAAACGGTACGGCCTGTGCTATACAGTCAGAAGTTTCTCTAACGCAAAGTAGCGCGCTAAACAATGAAAGAGACAGTTAATACTAAAGGGTTTGATACCTGAGAATCAATACAAATATTCCCAATCAGATGGGATCAAATATCTATCTGCAGGGATTGCAGCAATTCTCCCAAGCAGACAGTCAGAAGGTTAAGTTGTAACACGTGTAATCAGCAGTCACTGGAAGACGGGAAAACCTAAAGCCACAACACACACAATGTTAACTGAACACTTTACACCACAGAGAGAACGAGGAACGGAGGCCAATAGACGTTTATTTTGAAAATTAAAATTCGCGGGGTCTGTACAGAAGGGGAGCTAGTTTACAAACGGTCTTATGAGTCATCATGTAAGTTTAGTGCGTTCAGGGCTTGCTCTTCTTCTTCTAAAGCGTTTATTCCTGCTTGCCCTGCAATAGAAAGAAAACAAAATCTATTAACAACATCATACATGATGATTTTAATCCCGTTACATCGCCCCCTCTCCTAATGAGGCACTGTCCTCAGTGCCTGATCTTGGGCACGGGTATGCTGTCCCTCCTTCAGGTGGTACTTCGTAAAATCTAGTGGCCGGCGGTGGATCAGCGAGTTGAACATCGAAGGGAAATGTTGTCCGATCAGGTTTTATCTGGTTGTAGTGCACCGTTATCACATCGTCTTTAGGTCGTTGTATGTTACGTAATACAAACGTGGTGGGCGATCGGATGAGGACAATTTCAAAGGGGCCTTGCCAGGGTTGATGGAATTTACTGCAACCCCCTAGCGACGTCATTGGGCGGCGTAACCAGACGCGATCTCCAACCGTATACCTAGGTCCTTGTGCTTGACGATCATATATATCTTTTTGGTGTCCACTGGCCTTGCCTAAGTTAATGTTGACCAGACGGTAGGCATCAGCTAGTCGGTTGCGGAGAGTACGTATGTA